TGTCAGTGCTACCTAGAGCAATCTACACATTCAATGCAATCCCCATCAAAATACCATCCACCTTTTTCAAAGAAATGGAACAAATAATCCTAAAATTTGTATGGAACCAGAAGAGACCCCGAATAGCCAGAGGAATATTGAAAAAGAAAAGCAAAGCCGGTGGCATCACAATTCCAGACTTCCAGCTCTATTACAAAGCTGTCATCTTCGAGACAGTATGGTACTGGCACAAAAACAGACACATAGATCAATGGAACAGAATAGAGAGCCCAGAAATGGACCCTCAGCACTATGGTCAACTAATCTTTGACAAAGCATGAAAGAATGTCCAATGGCAAAAAGACAGTCTCTTCAACAAATGGTGTTGGGAACATTGGACAGCCACATGCAGAAGAATGAAACTGGACCATTTCCTTACACCACACACAAAAATAGACTCCAGATGGTTGAAAGACCTAAACGGGAGACAGGAGTCCATCAAAATCCTAAAGGAGAACACAGGCAGCAACCTCTTCGACCTCAGCCACAGCAACTTCTTCCTAGAAACATCGTCAAAGGCAAGGGAAGCCAGGGCAAAAATGAACTATTGGGATTTCATCAAGATAAAAAGCTTTTGCACAGCAAAACAAACAGTCCACAAAACCGAAAGATGACCAACAGAATGGGAGAAAATATTTGCAAATGACATATCAGATAAAGGGCTAGTATCCAAAATCTATAAAGAACTTATCAAACTCAACACCCAAAGAACAAATAATCCAATCAAGAAATGGACAGAAGACATGAACAGATATTTTTCCAAAGAAGACATCCAAATGGCCAATAGGCACATGAAAAAGTGCTCAACATCACTTGGCATCAGGGAAATCCAATGAAAACCTCAATGAGATACCACCTCACACCAGTCAGAATGGCTAAAATTAACAAGTCCGGAAAAGACAGATGTTGGCGGGGATGTGGAGAAAGGGGAACTCTCGTACACTGTTGGTGGGAATGCAAGCTGGTGCAGCCACTCTGGAAAACAGTATGGACATTCCTCAAACAGTTGAAAATAGAGCTACCCTATGATCCAGCAATTGCACTACTGGGTATTTACCCCAAAGATACAAATGTAGGGATCCGAAGGGGTACGTGCACCCCAATGTTTATAGCAGCAATGTCCACAATAGCCAAACTGTGGAAAGAGTCAAGATGTCCATCAACAGATGAATGGATAAAGAAGAAGTGGTATATATACACAATGGAATATTATGTAGCCATCAAAAGGAATGAGATCTTGCCATTTGCAACAACGTGGATGGAACTGGAGGGTGTTATGCTGAGTGAAATAAGTCAATCAGAGAAAGACATGTATCATATGACCTCACTGATATGAGGAATTCTTAATCTCAGGAAACAAACTGAGGGTTGCTGGAGTGGTGGGGGGTGGGAGGGATTGAGTTGCTGGGTGATAGACATTGGGGAGGCTATGTGCTATGTTGAGTGCTGTGAATTGTGCAAGACTGTTGAATCACAGATCTGTACCTCTGAAACAAATAATGCAATATATGTTAAGAAAAAAAAAGAAGAAGATAGCAGAGGGGAAGAATGAAGGGGAGTAAGTTGGAGGGGGATAGGAACCATGAGAGAGGATGGACTCTGAAAAACATACTGAGGGTTCTAGAGGGGAGGGGGGTGGGGGGATGGGTTAACCTGGTGATGGGTATTAAAGAGGGCACATTCTTCGTGGAGCACTGGGTGTTATGCACAAACAATGAATCATGGAACACTACATCAAAAACTAATGATGTAATGTGTGGTGATTAACATAAAAAATTAAAACAAAAACAAAAACAAAAACAAGGCTGTCTAGATATTAGATACTGCTTCTCAATTTAGGTAAATTTTAGGGTAGAATAGCTCTTGTAAAGACAATGCCATTGGCTACTGATATGCATGCTTGTGTCACTCCATTGTGAAAATGTAGCCCTCAAAATGTGGATTTAGTTTGGTGATGCTCCTATTGAAAACCAATAGCATGTCTCTGAGTTCTGTTATGTAAATGAGGATAGTGATTCTCTACTCAGACTGCACACCTCAGAATCACTTGAGAGCTTTCACAAAACTACAAGCATGGAGGGGATGGTGGGGGGATTATATCAGAATTTCTGGGTGTGGAGACTGAGAATTGAGATTCCATTAGAAGTTCCCCAGGTGACTGTCACATGCAGCCAAGATGGAGAACACTTTATATGTGTAGTCTAGACAATTAAAACTCCTTAGGGTGTATGTGCTGGTAAGACTAAGAAGAGGGATCCGGGTCTTAGTATCTTTAAGAACCAAACAGCCATATTGGCACACAATGTGGCAGAGAAAGCAAGATATACATTTGGTAAGATCACCTATCTGCTGGGTTTCTTGTGTTTTCTAACTTAAGCATCCGCATTAGTTATTTTGAAGGCATCTATATGGCTGGTATATAGAAAGCCTAGAAAGGATGTGAGGAAATATTCAGAGAATACTGAGCATTCATGTAGTTACACAACACTTTTTAAAATTCAGGAGGGCTTTGAGACTTCTTAGTTAGGCCCCAAGAACAAGTTGTATCAAGGAGAGAGAGTGGAGAAAAAGGGAGAACACCATCTATGAACGTCCAAATGCTAAGCAGGTCAGAAAGGGTACAGATTCTGCAAAACACAAAACAGTTCTTGGTAGTAATCAATATTTGCTGATAATTTTAAGTTCCTATTGTCTCCTTCACCCCTACTTTTAGGCTCATGACTACATTTGGGGTTTAGATATCCAGGCTTCTTCAGAGCTCCAGAACACACAAATGGTCTAAGTTTTGGAGTATCTTCACAAGATTTTGCTACCTCCAGTCTCATAAAAAAAGTAACGGTTCAGTTTATCATTCTCAGAGAATTTGGGAAGGCATCTGAACTTAAAACACAAGTTTACTGTATCTCAAAGAAGGGAGACCTGGTTAACACAGAGAACCAAGGTTTGAATAATTTTCATCAGCAGATTTTTCATCATCTCCAACCAATCCAGCCTAGAATGCTGGTCTGAATGAAGTTAAATTCTTCCCTCTCTGTCCTCTTGGGGGAAAAACCAATTCTGAATGGTCCTCCCTAGAGATCAGAAAATCATCTATCTGCCTTCTGTTTCTGAGAATTCCAGCAGGAGCAGATCTCCCCAGTTCTTGGATAATGGGGAAATGAGGGATCCAGACACACTGGAGTCTCCCTGCTGGTACCAGATTTCTCTAGATCTCACCCAGAGAACAAGAAAAAAAAAAAAAAGGAGGTTATTAGGAGAAAAGGGAAACGGCACTTTTTCCCAGGAGTTATAACAAGCAACAAACAAATCTGAGGCGAAAAGAAGAGTTCTCCAAAATGTACTAAGGGGGTACATAGCTGAACGCCCATACCCATTCTCGGTAAGACCGGGGATTTCTCAGAGCCCATTCAGCTTTGAAACTTCTCACAAGGTTAAATATGGACGGGGTCATTGGTCTGGATTGATTCCGGGTTCTATTTTTCTTAATCAGTGCAAGTGGGTACGCGTGAACCCGGCACAAGTGACAGTCCCACAAAGTTGTTCAAGCCCCTGACTACTCTTGTGCCACACCTGTGCAGTTTTCCTGGCGCACCCAACGATTCTCTGCGTTTGGGTAAGTTCAGGGGCACTCCCTGTGGACAGGATGCAAGGATGTATGGCTTCTGTTCTGCAGAATGACCAGACAGAGCAGGGCTGAGGGTCTGCTGGAGCCAGCAGCGGTGGAAAGGCGCCGAGCCCCGGTGACAGAACGCTTAAAAGTCCAGCCGGCGGGAGAGGCCGCGCTTCTCCCTGCGCGCCGGCGCCGCGGATGGGGGCGCGCTCGCCGCGTCCGTGCTCCGCGCCCGCCTCCCGAGCCGCAGCGCAGGGCCGGGCTCCCCGCGCGCCGGCTCCGGAGCCGCAGTCCCATTGGTCCGGGGGCACGCCCGTCCCCGAGTGAGGCTTCGAAAGTTTCATTGAAGGTGGAGAAGTGCGCGCCTGCCCGGGAGCCGGGGCTGCGCCGCCTGGGTGAGGCTGCATCGCGGCGGGCGGGGGGCGAGCTGGCATCCGGACGGCGTTTGGTTTTCATTTTATTTATTTATTTTTTTAAGTTGAGGCCGTGGAGGAGGGAATTGGAGCCGGACCCACTGGCTGTGTGCTTTCGTCTCGATTTCTGCCCACGCTTGCACGATTCCTCCTAGTGAGGGAGGGACTCGCAGCGCCACCTCCGGACCGATAGCTCGAGCCCGGTGCAGTCGGGGATGGTTCTGCGCGCTTGGCCGCTCCCACCCGGGTCTCTCCGGCACGAAGCTGGGGGACGCAGAGGCTGAGCTGCGCCGCCGCTCAAGGAGCCGCCGCGGGGCGGCTCGGGACCTCGGGCAGGTCCGAGAGTGCGGGCAGAGGGCGGCACGCCACAGCCTGCGTGGGCAGGGGGCCGGCGCCCGGCAGCAGAGGCACGTTAGCTCTCACCTCCAGTGGGGGTTCCGCGAAGAAAACTCCCCTCCCGGCCCTGAGCGACGCCCCAGGAGCCGGGCTAAAGGACAACACGCCCTTCCTGCCCCCTTTCCTCGCCGCACCGCCCCCCGGGACCCTCCCGGAGTGCCCCCGTCCACGACTCTGGCCCCGGCCACCCGTTGAAGAGGCTGCTGCCACCGGGTTGGGGATTCCACACTTCATGGGCCGACAGTGGGGGGGTCGGGCGCTTGGCGAGGGGGCTACCTAGAGCCTGGTTAGGGGAGGCCGAGCGCCCGGCGAGGCGCCGCAGAGAGACGGGCCAAGGGGCGAGCGAGAGCCCGGTGAGGGGTGGCCCACAGCCCGGGGAGCGCGCCCCTCGGGGCGGACAGCGCGGCGGCCCTCTGCGAGGCGATGCCAGGTCGGCTGCGAGCCGCCCGCCGCCCGAGGCCCTAGGTAGACATGGACCTGGCGCCCCAGTCTTAGGGACCCTCGAAATTCGCCCCTCTTCTTGGACTCGCCGGACCGACGCGATGGCCTCGGAAGTGGTGTGCGGGCTCATCTTCAGGCTGCTGCTCCCCATCTGCCTGGCAGTAGGTAAGTGTGGTCCGCTCGCGGAGGTTACTTGGGGAGGCTAAAGGGGGCGCCTAGGGAGGGGGCCAGGCTTCCGACTAAACCTAAGTTAAGGGCTCTAGTGCTCGGGAACTTAGTTGGGGAAGCCCGCGCCACTGTTTTTGTACCAGGGGAGTCAGACGCGTGCTGTCGCGAGTGCCACAGCTGGGCACTCTCCCTTCCCGCGCTGGGGCGCACGACCGGGGTCTCTCAGAACCGCCCAGGGTTCTGGCGGCCAGGATTGGCATGTGCTCAAGACTCTTTGTGTTGAACTTAGTTACACGTGGAATTTCTTTCGTCGAGTATTGACTTGTGCACAAAGGATGCGAATCTTTCTGGAAGGCGGTTGTATACTGCCTTCCCAGGTACAGTGCAGCGTCGAACCAGATTCCCCTCTGCCCCCCTGTCCGCAGACGAACAGCACCTGGTTGTATCCAGACCGTACCGAAGCCATTTCGCCCCCACCCCCTATCCCAGCAACTGTGAGGGAAGAAGTGAAGGACTCTGGCCATTCTAAAAAGAAAAGAAATTAGAAGGTACAGGGAAACAGTGTCCTCACGTTGCTTACTTTTCTTTTATTGCACAAAAGCCCCTACAACAAAAGCGCTGGGTGCTGGGGCCATAGAGGACCAAGACGCAGTTCCGCCGTCCAGGCGTCCGCCCTTACAAATCTTTAAAGGGTTGGAGAGCCGGACTGCGACTCCCTGGGACCGGTGAGGGTTAAGGGAAGGCCAGAAGGGAACCCCTTCGACTCCCAGTAAAGGATCTCACTATTTCTATAGGGTTGGCCGGGGCTTTAAAAGCAACTGGGTCTCAGGTCTAAAGACTGGCATCCTGCCTGGAGTGAGAGTTTCTGAGTTTCTCCTCTAAAAGAAGGTGCCTGTTACACCGAATCCCACTTCTAGGAATGACTGACAGCGCCTTACTTTTCACTTCCCCCACCAGAGCTAGAAAACAGAACACCTTTTACCAAGCAGCAGCTGCATTTACAAAGAAAGCGTGGCCTTCGCAGAAAAAGCCACATTTCTGCAGTTTGCTAGAGGTTGAGGACTCAAGATCACACCTGTGCTAAGTGTTTTTATTTGCTCAGGTAATAGACAGGGGGGCTCCAGAGTGTTTCCTGAGGGTCTAATCCCAGCTACTTGGGAGGATTTTGTAGTCGAGTGTTAAGGTGTCAGAAGCCTCCGCGGAAAACCAGAGAACGCTTCTAGAGTGAAAACAGTCCCTAGCGAAGACACAAGGTCCTCGGCAGCTGGAGGGCTCGGGGCGCAAGTGCTGATCTTTCTTTGCCATTTGAGTTTCCAGGCAGGACCATTTTGCAGGCATCTTCATCCTTAACAACCGCTCATGGAGGTGAGAAGCGGAGCATCCACGGAGTTTACGTGGACGTCTCTCTCTGCCAGTTTGCTTAAGTTTCAAAACGGAAAAGGCTCTGGGAGAGCGCTGTGGGGAAAAGAGCGCCGGGATACTTCTGGTGCCTTACGTACACACGGTCTGGGGAATCGTCTGAGTATCTGAAGCACCTGGAACCGTGCCTGGCTCCTTTACTGTTTGCCCAGTGGAAGCCAGAGCCTGAGTTAACAACGGGCTTTCAGTCTGAGGGCCGATTTGTGGTTGTCCGTGCTGACGGGGCAGGAGGCCTGGGGAGTGGCACGAGGGTCAGAAGGCACTCTCTTCCCCTCTCCGCACCTCACCATCCCCACTTCTTCCCCCACCCCAGCCTTTTCCCCCTCCCCGCCTCCTCTCCGGGTAGCAGCTCGAGGCGACTGTTGGAAGAGCTGGGCAGGTGGTTACCTGCTACCCGCTCAGTCCAGTCTGAGCTGAGTGTTGTGACAGCAGGGATTACCCGCTGTTGGCCACCCACCTCGCCCTGAGCTTCGGCCCTTGCAGAAGCCAGCTCGGCCGCACGGGATGCTCCGCGGCTGCAGGGGCCCGGGCCATGTCATTCCGTCTAATCACTGGTGGTCTACACCGCAAAGCCCAATCAGTGGGACTGCTCTGAGCTCTGCCCTCCAGAGGGGCAGGGTCCTACCGCACTCCCAGCTCCCGCGCCCCGAGGTTCGAGGCGGCAGCCGCGACTCCAGCCCTCAGCGGAGGCTACCAGGGGTTCAGGGCGGAGCGGGAGCGCTGCGCGCGGACCGGATCCCGGCCCCGCCCGGCCCCTGACTCCCGCCCTCTGAATTGTTCCTCGGCGCCCCGTGGGTCCCGCGCAGTGGCTTGCCCTCGGGACCTGACCTTCCTGGAAGGAAAACTGCTTCCAGGGACTCAGACGCTACCCCCCCACCCCCGCGCCCCTTGTCCTGCTCCATAGCTCCGGGGAAAGCCGGAGTCGGCCCAGGTGATCCTCGGCCGCCTTCCCTTTCCAGCTTACGCTTCTGGATTCCCACGCATCTTCTGGGCTAACAGAAGGAAGGCTAACCTGTATGTGGCTGGCTGGGTGGGTGGGTGGGGGTGCTGTGGAGGCCCCCAGCTCGGTCTGGAGCCTGTTGCTTCCCCCACCGTTGTGGAAAGCCGACCTAAGGGAAGGTGAAGCGCAAGGACCTCGGACCTCAGACTTCCTCCCCTGCCTGAAAGAGAGCGAGAACTCCTGGGAAGACGGGAGGGCTGATCCCTTGAGTACCCCCTCACTTGTTGGCAGCTGCTTAGGAAAGACAACCCACTTCCTAGCGACTAGATGCCTTCTAATCATTGTACTTGTAGAGACAGAAAGGGACTGGGTAGGTGTCGCCTGATTGGGCAATCAATTCTCAACAAGAAGTGGGTATTTTCAAGGTTATTGGAGGATTTTCAGGTCTGCCTACTCCCAAGGTGCTACTAAATCAAATATTCAGGTTTCCCTAATATCCTGGTCATGGAGAGTGCAATGATCTGTTTGCCGTTAGAATCGATTTTTACATTTTAGCCATCTATTTTTATACCTGGGCAAGGCAACCTTCAAAGCCAGGCCTTTGTAGAAGCTTGTGTATTTAAAAACAAAACAAAACAAAACAAAACATTTCTCTAACATTGCTGTTGAAATTTTTCTGCACAGGTATGCTCTAGCCATTTTGACTAACGGTAGATATTAAAATTAACTGCCATTTTGTTTAAACTGATGCTTAAGGTTTTTCTTTTTTCCTGTAGAAAAGTTTACAGAGAAGTGAGAAGTGAAATCAGGCCTCTGTTATGCAGGTATTACGTGGTTCTTGAGCATTAAAAGCAAAATAGAAACCGTAATATAATATAATATAATAAATATAATATAATATAAAATATGTTGTTTACCATCCAAAATGAATATCCAGTGACAGATTTTTCCACATCAGTAGAAACTGAAAATTTTAAAGATCTCCAGAATTATTTATGATTACTTGGGTAGCCATTCTGACTTTTTTCTTACAGATGATGCATGGGGGAAAAAAACAAAACACCAGACAAAAGCTTCCATAATATTATGAAATCTCTAATAATTATAATATCTAATCATTGTTGAGCACTTTAAAAATATTTTTACGCTCATTTTTCTTTTAACGTGATTGTACTGTGCCCCCATCTTTATGATTTGAGTCTATTCATGGGTCAGAACTGGATTTGTACATTTTAACTCACATGCACTTGACCCATTCATTCCATTTTGCCTAGCGCTGCTTGGAGTTTCCTAATGTCTTGCCTAAAGAGCCAACTTAACCATTTTCAGGGCAGGGGAGGGGAGCTGGCTTGAACAGAACAGATTGGTCCAGGAGGGGCAGAACCACAGTGGCATCACTACTTTATGCTTCCCTTAAATGAAGTGACCAGAGCTTAGGAGAGAACAGAGCAGAACAGGAGACTATAGAGCACACAAAAACAATCAACCAACCAACTAGTGCTCTGAGAAAAAAATCACACTTGGGTAATTGTGCAAAACCTGGAATAATTTCTAAAATTCCCTTCAGAGATATTGGATAAAAATTGGAGCAAAACCATGGAGTCGCTTTTGAAATATGTATGGGTGTATCTAAATGTAATTTTTTCTCTACAGCATAATATATTTCTCCCTGTGTGGCATGTGTCATTTTGAAATCACACTTACATACACCCCAAGAATTATAGATGATGCCCTGCTATAGCTCTCAGAAGAAGGAGGTTTCAGCTGTTGAAGGATGCATTAACAGTGATGAAAGTTACTTTCTTTTCTGTTACACCTTCTCAGTCTTATATAGGTAGATACTATTTATCATTTTCAGAAAGGAGAAAAGTAATAGTGGAAAGGATTAGAAATATGTAGTTTAATTCTAAAATAAAATAATTTTGTAAACACAGATGGACATGATCATTTTGTTGCATGGGTTGTAGAAGCTGGAGCTGTGTGTCAAGCCTGTGGGTTTGGCAGTGGGCATGTTGCTTTACAGGGAATATATGCTTGTGCATAATCGGCAATAAGCAGGCTGCTTTGGACCTCACCTTCGGGGGGAAAAGAGGTTGTGACTTGGCAATTTCAAAGTTCTCCATTCACATCCTGGCTCTGCCCTTTACTATGTGATCATAGAGTTGGTTTCGCTTGTTTCTCTTTTCTTTTTGTAAAAGGGAGTTATTAATGCCTCCTTCCTTGGGCAGGTGTGAGATAGTGTGCCCAGCCACACCTTGTATAATGCCTAGCCCTCCCTCCCCGCCCCCCCTTGTCCTGCTCCATACCTCCAGGGAAAGCCGGAGTCAGCCCAGGTGATCCTTGGCCACCTTCCCTTTCCAGCTTACACTTCTGGATTCCCACGCATCTTCTGGGCTAACAGAAGGAAGGCTAACCTGTATGTGCTCAAAGTGGGAGGTATTATTATTGCATTTATGTAGATGAGCAGAAGAGCAGGGATGCTTGAAGAATGTCTTGATAGAAATTAAGACTAACAGGTGGTGACATGGGTCATAAAGATACTGATATGAGTCGGTGGGATTCACATGAAAGCAACTCTGTACCTTCCTACAGCCAAATTATGCAATTGAAAGTGAGTGTGGGTGTGTTGTGGGAGAAT